CCCCTGTTGCCAGAGGGTTCCAGCACCTCTGAAAAGCCCCTCTGGTAGCTGTTGCCTATACCACATGGGAGAACCAGAGAGGTGCCCCAGAAAATCACCCTTTAAGGCAACCTGGACTCTGAAGAGCCATTCAGGGCTTTAAAAAGGTCAATGGCAGCATTTTGAATTGGGCCTGGAAATTGACTGGCAGCCAGTGGAGACGGCCACGCAAAAATTTGGCACCATATGACCGTACTCCCAGTCCCTGTTAACAATCCTGCTATTCACCTCCCCCCGCAGCTTCATATGCACGCACCTGAACTTCCTTCTTTCCTCTTCCCTCCACTTCCACATTTCCTCTTGTGCCATGCCTTTTAGCTTGTAAGTTTGAGGGTAAGCACTGTCCTACTGCTGTTGTTTTGTAAACTGATTTTTGGCTAAGGGGCAGAACAGAAGTTAATAAATAAGCAATAATCATACTGCTGGGTCATTTCTCAGGCAGGAAGCTTGCCGTAAAGTGATCCCTGCAAATGTGTCTTCTTATCTGATCCTAGTTTTCTCTTCCTGTAGTTTAGAGATGGGGAAGCTGCAGTCCACTAGTGGCTTTTGGACTTCAGTTCCCAGCAGCCAGCAAAGCCAATGGCCATGAATGATGGGATTTGTAGTAGAAGGCCAAATGTTCCCTATCTGAATCTCCAAAGCCATGTTGCTCCTTGAAGTGATGCAAACCATTTTATTGCCATAAATCCTTGGGAGCACTTTATGTAAAAACAATGTAGTGAAATCACACTGAAAACCCATTGAAAAGTAGCTGTAAAATGTAAAGAGAAAGAAGGCACTTTTTTCATATGTGGTGGACGTGTCCCAAAGTGAAAGACTTCTGGGAAAAGATTTATAATGAATTAAAAAAAATGTTGAAAAATACATTTATTAAGAAACCAGAGGCCTACTTGGAATAACAGGACCGAAATTGCCCAAGAAGGATGTTAGACTGTTTTTGTATGCCACTACAGCAGCAAGGGGACGCGGGTGGCGCTGTGGGTAAAACCTCAGCGCCTAGGACTTGCTGATCGTAAGGTCGGCGGTTCGAATCCCCGCGGCGGGGTGCGCTCCCGTCGTTCGGTCCCAGCGCCTGCCAACCTAGCAGTTCGAAAGCACCCTTAAGTGCAAGTAGATAAATAGGAATCGCTTTATAGCGGGAAGGTAAACGGCGTTTCCGTGTGCTGCGCTGGTGCTGGCTCACCAGTGCAGCTTCGTCACGCTGGCCACGTGACCCGGAAGTGTCTTCGGACAGCGCTGGCTCCCGGCCTCTTAAGTGAGATGAGCACGCAACCCCAGAGTCGGTCACGACTGGCCCATACGGGCAGGGGTACCTTTACCTTTACCTTTTTACAGCAGCAAGACTTTTATTAGCCAAAAATTGGAAATTGCAAGAGATACCGACAATAGAAGAATGGCAGATGAAGATGATGGACTTTTCGGAGCTGGCTGACCTGACTGGAAGGATCTGCGACCAGAAAGAGGAGGAAACACAAGAAGGAAGACTGGAAGAAATTTAAAGAATATTTAGTGAGATATTGTAATATAAGATAAATAGGAAATCCCTAGATCTAACAGATTAGGCTAAGGGATAGGAAAAGATTAATAATAAAGATTAGTATGGATGACAATTGGAAGTAAGGCTAATAAGTTTGTAATGAAAGAAGATATTGATGTTATAAATATGAAATTGGGAACTGCTAAATATGTGATACGATGAAATTCAGATTGGAGGGTGTCGAGGAAGTCTTTTAGCAATGTAAATACACCAGGGAATAAGAAGAAAAAAATCTTCTTTTATTTTGTGTGTTTTTATTGTTGTCAAGTTTTTATGTTGTGTTAAATGTAATGTTTTTCTTTTGTGTTTTTGTCTATGTGTTATAAGAGAAAACTAATAATTTTTTTGGGGGGGGGAGATAATTTTTTTTTGGGGGGGGAGAAAAGTATCTGTAAAAACGGGAAGTATGCTGAAGAATTAAAAGTGTGTATTAAAACAAAAAACAGCCATACACTGAAGCCAAACCTTGGACGATTCAGGAGAGAATTAAGGAAGAACACCTCCATGCAGTTTGAAGTTAAAACTATGGATTTTGCTCCCATAGGATGTTGTGATTGTGACCAGCTGGGATGGCTTTGAAAGAGGATTGATGCAGGATAAAGCTATCAGTTGCTACCAGTCACCAATGACCATGGTGTACCTCCAGCACCAGAAGCAACCACAATAACACAAACAATGTCAACACAACTGCGCCGCTAAGTCTTTTGTGGGGAGTTAGCGTTCCATTGACATCGGGAGTCCATAAAGAAGGGGAAGAATATAAGTCAAGGGGGGTGAATGGCTGGCAGCCTGGCTAAGTCCCAAGAGTTGCAAGGCGGTTTGGGCAGGGGAGTCTGGCCTGCAAAGAAATTAAGTGAAGGTGTTGCTTGGTGCTCTGGCATTTAAAGCAGAGGATCTGAGGCAAGAGAAGTTGCAGAACAGGTGGGAGTCTGGGAGGAGCAACCTCAAAGCCTGGAAGTCTGAGAGGGGACATGAGAGCCACCTGCAAATAAATATCTCGCTATTATTATTTTTACTGAGATGCTGCAAATACAAACGATTAGAACAAAACTTACAATTGTCATACAAATCACATAAAGAGAAAGAATCAAAAATTTAAAAAATAGAGAGACACGTCTAATACATATCCAAATACAGGTAACTCTTCATAAATAAAGGAACAAGAAAAGGAAAAAGAAAGAAAAAAGAATGAATGATTTACTGTTATCTTAGTTATATATATATATTCCTTCTTCTTTCTTTCACCTGCAGATGTCTGAAGGGCTGCCACGTGGAAGACGGAACAGGCTTGCTTCGGGTCCAGAAGGTAAAAGCCGAACCAAGGGATCCAAATGACATGAAAGGAGAGCCCAACTGAACATTAGGAAAAACTTTCTGATTGTTGTTCGACAGTCGAACAGAGATGCCCTCGGGTGGCTGTGGACTCTTCTTCCTTGGAGGTTTTTAAGCAGTTTGGGTGGCTATATGTCATGGATATAGTCATGGGTATGTCATGGGTGACTATATGTCATGGATGGGACGTGGGTGGCGCTGTGGGTTAAACCACAGAGGCTCTTGGGCTTGCCAATCAGAAGGTCGGCGGTTCAAATCCCCGCGACGGGGTGAGCTCCCATTGCTCGGTCCCTGCTCCTGCCAACCTAGCACGTCAAAAGCACGTCAAAGTGCAAGTAGATAAATAGGTACGGCTCCGGCGGGAAGGTAAACGGCGTTTCCATGCGCTGCTCTGGTTCGCCAGAAGCGGCTTAGTCATGCTGGCCACATGACCCGGAAGCTGTACGCCAGCTCCCTCGGCCAGTAAAGCGAGATGAGCGCCGCAACCCCAGAGTCGGCCACGACTGGACCTAATGGTCAGGGGTCCCTTTACCTTTACCTATGTCATGGATACTTTAGTCTTGACCTCCTGCATTGCAGGGGTTGGACTAGATGACCCTGAGGGACCCCTGCCAACTCTGATTCTCTAAGAAGCCCATGCGCCCATCTACATTGGCTGGAAGGAGGGGGATGGGATTTGACCAATGGCCTGGAAGTTGCACATTGAAATGCAGACCGGTAATCTCTGCATATTCAAATCTCCCTTTGTTGCTGGTTGATCTTGCAAATGACTGCCTGAAAAGGCTTTTTGTCATGAAGATGGCTCTGCCCATTTTGCCATGAAGAGGGGAGGGAGGGCTCCCCAAAAGTCTTTTGCAAGAATTGGCCCTATAGAAATCAGAGTGCTTTTTGTTTAAGCAAAGGGGAAAACAAAAACAAAAGCGGTAACCTTCCAGCCAGCTCATTTCTCTAGGAACTGTATCCCATTGTGAGCACAAAGGTGAGGCAAAGGATGTCCTGACAATAAAGGTTTATTATTATTATTTAGAAGTTTGCATGTTGCAGCGCAGGAACCAAAGCCACACGGCAGAAGACTTCCTAGTCCTGGGATGGCAAACAAAATAACATTATCTGGACCACAAAAGTCATCAAAAGTCTAAACCCCTGCAATGCAGGAATCTCTTACCCAACCCACAACCTCAAAATTGAGAGTTTCATGCTCTACCCACTGAGCTATCCCACCTATCCTATGCATGGCCTAGAAATCGCCATTGATTGTGGCGACCTTGATGCCTTTGAAAAGAATGGAGGCAAAGCTCCATGGAAGAAAAACCTGCCAACGACATACTGTCTGAGCCAGAGGTTCTCAAACCCTTTTTTTCCCTGGGCTACAACTTTCACCAGATTTTTTACTGATAAGAAATGCACTGGAAAACACGAAAGGAAGTTCTAGCACTGCCTGACTGGTTAACATAAAACGTAGCTCCTTTATTACATGATCATGGGATCACCCAGAAAGTATGAAACAATGCAGCTACATAAGAACACGAATAATTCCCAAAATATAGTTATGAGTGAGAGATTTTACTTTCTTGGGCTCCATGATCACTGCAGATGGTGACAGCAGCCATGAAATTAAAAGACGCCTGCTTTTTGGGAGAAAAGCAATGACAAACTAGACAGCATCTTAAAAAGCAGAGACATCACCTTGCCGACAAAGGTCCATATAGTTAAAGCCATGGTTTTCCCAGTAGTGATGTATGGAAGTGAGAGCTGGACCATAAAGAAGGCTGATGGCCGAAGAATGGATGCTTTTGAATTCTGGTGCTGGAGGAGACTCTGGAGAGTCCCATGGACTGCAAGAAGATCAAACCTATCCATTCCGGAGGAAATCAGCCCTGAGTGCTCACTGGAAGGACAGATCCTGAAGCTGAGGCTCCAAGACTTTGGCCCCCTCACGAGAAGAGAAGACTCCCTGGAAAAGACCCTGATGTTGGGAAAGATGGAGAGCACAAGGAGAAGGGGACGACAGAGGACAAGATGGTGGGACAGTGTTCTCAAAGCTACCAGCATGAGTTTGACCAAACTGCGGGAGGCAGTGGACGACAGGAGTGCCTGGCGTGCTCTGGTCCAGGGGGTCACAAAGAGTCGGACATGACTAAACGACTAAACAACAACACAGTTATGAACGTGGACCCTGTTTCTGGCTGGACCTCCATACTGCACGGAAATGCTTCTTTGCTTGTCCTTGATTGGCCCTGCCACATTTGCCATCGTCTCCTGCCACAATAGGGCGGCATCCCACAGCCTTCGAGAACCACTGGCAGCCATCTTGGGGACTGAAAGAGGATGACACACGTTAAGGCAGAGGTTTTCTTTTATATATTTATTGATTTTTTAACATATCAGTTCCAACAGTCATACAATATACATGTATCTTCTCATCTTATACAATATTTTAGACTTCCGTCAACACCTCTGATGATTTTCCGTTCCTTATCACTTATTATGCATTTCTTAATTTCTATATTACATTTAATTATCCTTAACTAATAATTCTCTCCATAGTCCTTTCAGTATTTCAAATAATCCACCTTACAAAACTTCTTGCAGTCCTACTAGCGTAATCTGTTCATCACAATTACTTTTCAAATAGTTTATATATTTACTCCAGTCTTCTAGGAATCTTATCCCACAGGTTTTGAATCCTTCCTTTTAATTTATCTGAAGGAGCGTCTCCACCCCCATCGTTCTGCCCAGACACTGAGGTCCAGCTCTGAGGGCCTTCTGGCGGTTCCCTCATTGCGAGAAGCGAGGTTACAGGGAACCAGGCAGTGGGCCTTTACAGTGGTGGCACCCGCCCTGTGGAACGCCCTCCCATAAACATCTGATGTTTAAAAGACATCTGAAGGCAGCCCTGTTTAGGGAAGCTTTTAATGTTTAATAGCTTACTGTATTTTAGTGTTCTGTTGGAAGCCACTCAGAGTGGCTCAGGAAACCCAGCCAGATGGGCAGGGTATAAATAATATATTATTATTATTATTATTATTATTATTATTATTATTATTATTAAATTCTGCATAGTCCATCAACTTCACCCTCCATTCTTCTTTCTTAATGCAGAGGTTTTCAACATTTTTGACCAGCTACATGCTTCCTGCAGCACCCCTGTGGGGCTCAGGAGCCCAGTTATGTCCCCCCTTGCCTGCAGAGCTGGCAGCCCCTTGCCCCTTTTCAAACACCCTCCCTTGTGGAAAGTTCCCTCAGCCTTCTCTCCCCTCTCCTTGGGAGTCCTCTGGGCAGCTGCTGCTGCTCCTGGTCTCTGAGCTGCTCCCCCAGCCCCAAAGAAAGGTGCGTCCTCACACTGCCCCACAGAGGCCTAGGAAGCACGCCTTGGCCAGCCCCAGAGGCAGATTCACCTGCAGAGCTTGTAGCCAGGGCTGGTGCAATGAACAGCTGTGGAAGCCTTTGGGAGGCAGAGACATGAGAGGGCATCAGAGAAAGGAGGGAAGGAAGGAAAGAAAGAGGGACAGAGGCCAGTGTTGTCCGCAACACCCTTGACCATCCTTCATGGCACACTGGTTGAAAACCACTGCATTAATGGATGAGGATAAATCTTGCAGTGGCTCCTAGTTACAATGGCTATGCGCTACCTCCAAGACCAGAGGCAACATGCCTCTGTATACAGTCATACCTCATGTTACGTCCGCTTGTTACGTTCTTTCAGGATACGTCCCGTGGCGACCTGGAAGTACCAGAAAGGGTTACTTCCGGGTTTCACCACTTGCGCATGCGCAGATGTGAAAAAACGACGTCACATGCATGCGCAGAAGCGGCGAATCGCAACTCGCGTGTGCGCAGACGCGGGTTGCATTCTTTTCATGTTGCGAATGGGCCTCCAGAACAGATCCCGTTCGCAACCAGAGGTACCACTGTACTAGTTTCTGGGATCGCAAGTGAGCCAGGGCAGTGCTCTGGCAATTTGGCCCCGGGCTTTTTGTGGGCACCTGGGGACCATAGGATGCTGGACTCGAGGGGCCTTTGGTCTGATCCAGCACCCAGGCTCTTCTCACGCTCTCAAGGCATACTTTCTGCCAAGCAGGATTTGAGAAGGAACACAGAACATCTGCCGCCTTCCACAACGCCATGCCATCCAGATGTTTTGGAGAATATTTGCTTCCGGGTTGGGGAAAGGTAGTTGCAAAATGCATCCTGTGCCATGAGAGGCAGCCCCTTGCTATGTTGCAGGAGGAGATGCTGAGGTGCCCTGGATTTTGCCTCTTGGGTTGCTTGCAATGGAGCCCACCCTGTCCATCACCCCTGCCCTCCTTCCTCCAGGCCACGGGTTCAACAGGGGCCTTTTAAAAGCCTGGAACTTGCCTCCTCCCTGTCAAGAACGTAGGAAGAGCCTGTGGATTAGGCCAAAGGGGGAGCCCATTTAGTCCAGCATCCTGCTCTCACCGTTGCATGCGGGGAAACCAGCAAGAAGGACCTGAGTGCGAGAGCCCCATACACTCCTGGAGTTTCCCGCAACTGGGATTCAGAAGCACTGCTGTGGAGGCAGAGCAGAACCACCCTAACTAGTAGCCATCAATAGGGGTCTTTTCCTCCATGAATTTGCTCCAATCCTGAATTAAAGCCACCCAGGTTGGTGGCCATAACTGCCTCCTGTGGGAGGGAGTTCCATAGGTTAACTATGTGCTGGGTGTTCATATCCCCTCTGGCACCGTTTGGTCTGGCCTCGTTTTGGGACCCCTGTGTAGCTCCCCTGTCGAATGTCAGATTACAGAGAGGTAGCCGTGTTGGTCTGCTGTGGTCGAAACAAAATTTAAAAATTCCTTCCAGCAGCACCTTAGGGACCAACTAAATTTGTCATTGGTATGAGCTTTTGTGTGCATGCACACTTCTTAAGATACCGAACGTCAGATTGTCAGCTCCTAGGGGCAGGGACCTTGGGGCTGGGTGCACTCAGAGTGGCGCATGCTTCCTAGAAACCAATAAAAACAGGGGTAATGTCGCTGTGCATTGGAAATCAAAATGCTCTTGCATAGATGTTCTGGGATCACTGAAACGCGTTGCTAATGAAGCAGCCGGGAGACGTGCCTTCTCCTTTGCAAGGCAATGGGGCTACCAGAGAGCCAGCCTGCCCAGGAAAATATTCACCCCAGGAAGCAGCACCCCCGTCCATTTCCTGGTTCTGCTGTGTGCGGACTCTGGGTTGCTTCCTCGACGAGGCCCCCACCTCCTTCCCACCCCACCCCACCCCCTGCTCAGGCCAGGCCAGGCCACCTCGCTCCCCTCCTTCCTTCGCGTCGCCAGCCTCACCTATTTTCTCCGCCTCCCTCCTACATCCCACCCCCTGGAAACTTTTGCTTTTGGCCACCCGGGCCCTGCCGGAGGCCGAGGGATCCGGAGAGAAGCATGCGGTGGGGGATGGGGGGGGGCCTCTGGGAGGAGGATCTGGCCTGGGGGTGGGGAAGGCGCCCGGTGCCTCCTCCTCCCTCCCCTCCCCCTCCCCCCCCCAGGCCTGGCAAAATCATTCACCTGGAGACCCGCCTCCTGCGCTTTCAACTGGCCCGGAGAGGATTAGGGAGATTTTGGGCTGGGGGTTGGGAGGGGGGAGGGGGCGGGCTCGGCGCCGATCCCCTCCCCCGATAACCCCCCCCCCTACTACCAAGAAGGGAGGAGGGGCGCCCGACGGGACAGCAAGGGAGCCAGGGAGCCCAGGAGCGCAGCGGAGCGCAGCGCGGGGAGGGTTAACCCGCCCATGTAAACGTCGTCTGGGGCTTGTCAGTTTCCGATTCGAGACCCGGGAAAAAAAAGGGGGAAAAGGCACGCCTGGCAGCGGGCGGGCACAGCAGCCTCGGCGGCAGCAGGAACCGCGGAGACCCCGACGGAAAGGAAGAGGAGGCGGGCGCCGAGGTGAGCGCCCTCGGGCGCGGGCGCAATGCTGGAGGGCGGGCGGGCGGGCTGGTGGGGAGCCCGAGCGGGGGGGTGGTGGTCCCCGGGGATCGCGCACCCCGGGATCGGGGCCCTGGGAGAAGAGCTCCCGGGGGCTTTGTCCTCGTGGGGAGGGAAGAGGAAGCCGGGCACTGGGAGGCGCACCGACGACCGCGATTCCGTGTGGGAGCTCGCCCGGGGGTTGGCGGGGAGGGCGTGTGTGGTTTTGGAGAGGCGGTAGGGCGCCCCCTCCCCACTTCCTCGCCCCCTTCCTCGCTCCCCGTGGAGTTTCCCAGCCAACGCTCGGCTGCCTCGACGGCGGCGCAGCCCCCGGGACGAGGAAGAAGCGCGCGCGCCGGGGAAGGTGGGATGCGCAGCCCGGCGGTGCGCGCCGTTCCCCTCCGGAGCTCCCTCCAGAGTAAAAGCGCGCAGGGCGGTAGCCTCGTCGAGTGTGGGGGGGAATGCCATCCCCTCGCAGGGGTACAGCCCATTCTCACAACAGCCCAGTGAGGTGGGTCCCCGCTTTTCTCCTTTTTGCCGAAGGGGGGAGGAGGTTTGAGTAGCCCAAAGCCCGGCCGGGACGTCGGGGCTGCGCCCCTTTCCAAACTTAGCCCCATGGAACTTAGGCGGTTTTTGTAGGATCGCACGGCAGGGACCCTCTTTCTGTCCTTTTGGGGTGGGCCACGCATTGCCTGCACTGACCCCCTTCTCCACTCAATGGGGGAACCGTGGGACACCCCCCCCGGGCCTGGCGATTTTGCCCTCTGGGCTGGGCTGCTCAGCCTCCCGCCCCTTTCCTTTGTCCCCCGAAGCGGATTCCCCTGCGGGGCTTCCAGGTGGGAAGTGGCTGGTTCAAAACAACATCAAAGAGCTTTGCAAAAAGCAGCCCCCCCCCGCCCCATATCTTTTCTTCTCCTCTCCATTGTGAAACGCCCCAAACCCAAGTAGGGCTGGGTTGGTGTTCTGCCCCAGTTGAGGACCAAGTGAGCTCTCCAGAAACAATTTATCTGACTTTTTACCCTTTCCAGAAGTTAAACATGTTTGATACCCAGTGGAAGTTTGAAGAGGAACTGACTCATTGTGGCAGAAGCCGGTAAAAGGGCCCTTCTGTCACATGCAACAAATCAGTACATCAGCCTTCCCCAACCTGGTGCTCTCCAGATGTTTGTAGTCCATAACATCTGGGGGCACCAGGTTGGCGAAGGTGGATGCACATCTTTAAGGAGACATAATAAGCCTCTTTGTTCTAGGTAAAAGGGTTTTTGTGTATGTTCATATAACATGTTAAATGATGGGCTCACACATTTTAGAGTGCCCAGCTTTTACATTTTATGTCAGCCTCCCCCAGCCTGGCACCCTCCAGATGTTGTTTACCTATTTATGTACATTTTATATTTATTTATATTTGTCAGGTTCCATCACGCAGAAAAAAAGGGTCTCAAAATGAGTTAGCAAGATATAACACTATAAAGTGACCATGTTGGCTATGGGGCTGATGGGATTTGTGGTTCAGCTGGAGGGCCTAGCTTGGCGAAGATGGCTTTTAAGCCATGCCACTGGCAATCTTCTGCAAGGGGAAAGTTCACAGAACGGTTAGAAGCCCACGTGCACAACCCATGTTTGCAATTTGAGATGGCTGCGATGTGGCCCATCTCCCCTTGAAGACACCTAGGTGGAATGCACGGCTTTGAGAATGGCTGATTCATTGAGAGTTCTTAATCATCCATTTACTGATGAATCTTAGTGAGGTCTATGGAAATTTCCTGTGCAGAAAGTGTCTGAAGATTTCAGAATGAAGCGGGTGTGTGTGTGTGTGTGTGTGTGTGTGTGTGTAACTCAGAAGATCACACTTGCATTGGTTGTTTACTAACTTTTCTGCAATGGACACATCGATGAGAGTTAGAATATAATCACTCTTGATATTCTCAACAATACCGAAATGTGCATTTGTTAACTCTTGAAACCTTTGACCACATTTTTATTCACAGAAGTGGGGTGGCTACGTCCTACACCCACATATTGGTAAAACTGCTGTACAATGCTAGCCTTACTCAGAGTAGACCTACTGACACTAATGGTTGTGAGCGACTCAAGCCCATTGATTTCAATGGATGGCATCCAGCTAAACAATTCCACTAGGGAACCTTTGAGTCATCTACTTTACCCCCATGCCCCCTAAATATGGGTTTCCTTGCAACTCTTTGGATAAATTTTTAAGGTGGCTTGTTTGTGCTAGTGGAACTATTTGACTAGATACCACCCGCTGGGTCTACTCTAATTAGCTGAGTGGCTCCCAAGCCCTCTCAGGCCACCTCCCCCTTGGTTGCAGAAGCTCATCCTCAGGGACCCCTGCCCCACCAAAGCATTATTCAAAATAGTGATTTGCACCCCCCTAAGAAATATAGCAACCCAATAAAATTCAAAACAGTAACGTTAATTGCACATTTATTCCAACTCCAATTATAACTAGTCACTTTAATTTAACTCAACAAAACTGATCACCTTGACCCAGAGGTACCAGCTTTTAAAAGTCTGATAGTGATTGACACCTCCAGCATTCACCCCCCCCCCAGTGCCTGCCTCTTGCCTTTTAGCACCCCCCCCCCGCAGATAATCCCACAGCCCCCATTTTACGACTGCCTGCCTTGGGAACCACTGACTTAGCTGGATATTACAACCCACATATTTTGCCTCTGTTTTGGGCATTACTTACACAACTCTCCATCCATCTGAGACTTTTCCGTTGCTGCTGTCCTGTGAACAGAGGACAATCGGTTGCGGAATAACGGGGGCGGGGGGGGCGGGGAGCCTGACTCAAACATGGCAAGGCTGGAGCGGCTGGTCCAAGCGGCTACCATCTTGCTTAAGAGAGCTTGCCACTGCGACTGGGGCTTACGTTTGCAGGCCAGGTTCTTAAGGCTGCTGCGAATGTCCCTGGGTGTTTCTCTTCTCTATGCTGGGGGGTTGGCAGCCGCGCCTGGGAAATGGTGGCGCCTGACGTGATGTGAGAAAGCATGAAGGCCTTGCCCGCCAGCGGTGCATTCACACATGCCACTTTTTGGTGTTGTGAAGCAGCCTGCTTGTGCCGCAGCCATTCCTCGCTGGGTTGTGGTGTTTTAAACTCCACAACTGCAAAATATGGAAAAGGAGTGTGTTGGCGCTGGGGGTGTCGCTTTGGACAAAGAGATGTGCAATGCATGCACCATGTTGTGACTCCAGGGTTGCAATCCCTCCTGGAAATGTATGTCTGAATTGGGTTATAAGCCCACCAGGACCTTTCTAACACTCAGAGAAGTCTGGGTGCCATGTGTGCATTTGAGACCTCCCCCTTCCTTATCTTCTCAGCCAGGTTGCACTGTTTGTCCAGGCCGATGTGGCCTTGTCCATGCGGGAGGCCCAGGACAATGGCCCTCTCCTTACAAAGGGCCTGAGGGAATTGGTCTTGAGGCTAGATAGCCCTTCAAATGGGCCTGCAAGCTTTCAACACTCATTTTACCTGAAAAGCTGGCTCTGGGTGGTTGTTCTGTGTATGTTTTCTGTGCATCAGCAGCCAGAAGTAGCAATGTTTCTGAATACCAGTTGCTGGAAGCCACTGCAGGGGAGAGGGCCGCTCCTGTGTTCGAATCCTGCCTGTGGGCTTCCCCCAGGCATGGTTTGCCACTGTGAGAAAAGGTTGCTGGACTGGATGGGCCATTGGCCTGATCCAGCGGGCTGCTCTTAAAGGGACCCCTGACCATTAGGTTCAGTCGCGGACGACTCCGAGGTTGCGACGCTCATCTCGCTTTACTGGCTGAGGGAGCCAGCGTACAGTTTCCGGGTCATGTGGCCACCATGACTAAGCCGCTTCTGGCAAACCAGAGCAGCGCACGGAAACGCCGTTTACCTTCCCGCCGGAGTGGTACCTATTTATCTACAGTGGTACCTCAGGTTACAGATGCTTCGGGTTATAGACTCCTCGCGGGTGGCGCTGTGGGTTAAACCACAGAGCCTAGGACTTGCCGATCAGAAGGTCTGCGGTTCGAATCCCCGTGACGGGGTGAGCTCCCGTTGCTCAGTCCCAGCTCCTGCCCACCTAACAGTTCGAAAGCACACCAGCACAAGTAGATGAATAGGTACCGCTCCGGCGGGAAGGTAAATGGCACTTCCGTGCGCTGCTCTGGTTCGCCAGAAGCGGCTTAGTCATGCTGGCCACATGACCCAAAAGCTGTACGCCAGCTCCCTCGGCCAAGAAAGCGAGATGAGCGCCGCAACCCCAGAGTCGGCCACAACTGGACCTAATGGTCAGGGGTCCCTTTACCTTTACATTAACCTAGAAATAGTACCTCTGGTCAAGAACTTTGCTTCAGGATGGGAACAGAAATCGTGCTCCGGCGGCATGGCGGCGGTGGGAGGCCCCATTAGCTAAAGTGGTACCTCAGGTTAAGAACAGTTTCAGGTTAAGAATGAATCTCCAGAACGAATTACCGGTAAGTTCTTAACCCGAGGTTCCACTGTACTTACACTTTGAGGTGCTTCCTGACTGCTAGGTGGGCAGGAGCAGGGACCGAGCAACGGGAGCTCACCCCATGGCAGGGATTCGAACCGCCAACCTTCTGATTGTCAAGCCCTAGGCTCTGTGGTTTAGACCACAGTGCCACGCGTGCCTTTGATAAAAGGACTGGTTATGCCAACCTGAGTCTAAGCTGCTTGACTTAGATAGCATCTCCCATTCTCTGGGAGCAGAATGTGTGTCTTGAGCAGATATTAGCTGGTGGTTAGAGGCAGTGAGCCATTCCTGAGTTAGGGGAAGGAAGAGGAGACGACGGGAGTTCTCTAAACGCTCAGTTATAAAACAGAAGTTTCCTGGCGCTCGAGGCCTTCCGGTAATGATGTAATTAAAGAAAGAGGGTGAAGGAGGGAAGGTGGATAGGAATGGAGCCACATCCTCTGTTAGAATGGCGAGAGGTGATGCTCTTGGAAGTCGCGTGTCAGAAAAAGAGAGA